AATCTAGATCAACAGGGATCTTTGCTGACTTACATTTAAAGGTTGAGCTACCTATGAAGTTGTTTTGTGATAATAAAGCAGCCATTAGCATCTCACAAAATCCAGTCCAACATGACAGGACAAAACACATTGAAGTGGACCGACATTTCATAAGGGAAAAGTTGGACAATGGGACTATATGCATTGCATTTCATCCCTTCCAAAGAGCAAACAACAGATATCTTAACCAAAGAACTATTTAGACCGGCATTCGATCGTCTTATAGACAAGTTGGGCATGTATGATATATATGCACCAACTTGAGGGGGAGTGTGGAATTGATACAATGAATATAATCCCTGATTTCTTGGGATTATTTTTCCTTTTATAACAAATTTGGTAGATATTTGTATAGTTTGGTAAGTTTCCTTGTATGTTATCATCCCTTAAATTATGGGATTCTAGTTAGGTCTCTAAGTTGTATAAATACCCCTATTGCTTTTCAATGAGAATAATAACATATTTTCTCTGAAATTACATGTGTTCGCCAACCCCTCCAAACTCAAGCCAACCTTGTTTACAGTTTCTAGCGTAAAAAGTGATGTTATGTCATGGCACCGTAGACCAGGTCATCCCAATTTTTTGTACTTAAAGAAATTATTCCCTGAATTAATAAACAATTCTAGTTCTCTTAAATGCGAAACATGTCAAATCTCAAAACATGTTCGACATTTCTACCCGCCAGTTCCTTATAAAGCCTCTCATCATTTCACCTTATTCACAGTGATGTTTGGGGACCTTCTCGAATAAAATATATAACCGGGTCATGGTGGTTCGTCACATTTATCGGTGACCACACCCTTGTAACTTGGTTATTTTTAATAAAGGAAAAATCCGAAGTTGGTACTATCTTCCAAAAGTTCCACAAAATGATTCAAACCCAATTTTCCTCAAAAATACAATTTCTAAAAACCGATAATGCTAAAGATTATTTCCAATTCGAACTTGGAACATACCTTTCTTAAGAAGGGATTGTCCACATCAGTTCCTGCGTAAACACAGCCCAACAAAATGGCGTGGCTGGAAGGAAAAATCGGCATCTCTTAGAGGTTACCGCTCTTTCCTATTAGCCAACCATGTTCCTAAGCACTATTGAGGAGAGGCTGTTATGACGTCCACATTTTAACAATCGCATATCATCTCGAATCCTCACCTTCCAAACACCACACCAAACACTCTTATCTGCCTATCCTCATCTCAAACTCATGTCCCATATTCCTCTAAAAGTGTTTGGGTGTATAGCCTTTGTTACAGCCAAACCGAAGCAAACTTGATCCGCGAGGCTTTAAATGTATGTTTCTTGGGTATTTTCCTAACCAAAATGGGTACAAGTGCCACTCTCCACCCACAAACAAAGTATACAACATCATGGATGTTACCTTCTTCGAAGAACAACCATTCTATGCCAAAACCGATATTCCGATGGAGTGGAAGAATATCGGTTCCTGGCATACTCAGACACCACAAATCAGCTTGTCACAAATCAGCCCTCATCTGTCCTCTCACTTGTCTCAAGTCAGTCCTCACCGGTCTCAAATTCACCGGTTTCGGCAGAAAAATGTCAGCCTATTGATATTGAAAATACAATTCCAAAAGATTACATTGTGTATACAAGGTACAAAAACCTATTGTTGAGCCGATACACTTTCAAATTACTTCTCGAGGGTCACAACCGGCAAATGATCATACCACGTAGTAATCCTTCCTTCTCGTATAATACTTAAAATTCTCCTATCCAAAAAGGGTACAATGCCGATGGAATCATTAGCAGATATAAGGCCAAGTTGGTGGCCAAGGGTTTCACTCAATCATACGGAATTGACTACTCCGAGACCTTTGCACCGGTCGCCAAACTTATCTCCATACGTGTGCTATTGTCTATAGTCGCTAACCTAGACCAACCTCTACACCAGTTGGACATCAAGAATGCTTTCTTAAATGAAAGACTAAAGGAAGAAGTCTATATGGATGTTCCCCCAGGACTGGAATCTGGCGAAAATCAAGGGAAGGTGTGCAAATTGTTAAAATCATTATATGTTTTAAAGCAATCCCCACATGCTTGGTTTGACAGGCTCACTCAGGTGCTAAAGAGACAAGGCTTCATTCAAAGGCAAACTGACCACACAATGTTTACCAAACACTCCTCGGACGGTCGACTAGTTGTGATCGTGTATGTGGATGATATCATCATTACCGGAGATTTTTTTCAAGAGATCGCCCGTCTAAAAACGGTTCTTGGAAGAGAGTTCGAAGTCAAAGACCTGAGACAGTTAAAATACTTCCTAGGAATGAAAATCGCCAGATCAAAGAAAGCGATTGTTGTATCACAGAGAAACTATACTCCTGATCTTCTTTCTGAAACCGAACTTTTGGGATGCAAGCCAACAAGTATTCCAATGGAACCCGCCAGCAGGTCACCTCAACCAAAAGAAGATGCAGAGCTAGTGGATCAAGGGAGATATCAATAGCTGGTTGGAAAATTAACATATCTTGCCCATACAAGACCGGATATTGGATATGCAGTCAGAATGGTCAGCAGGTTCATGAATACTCCAACTAAGCAAAACATGAATGCAGTGTTCCAGATCCTCCACTATCTCAAGAAAAATCCATGGACTCTTCTTAGGAGAGACCTTCAAATCTTCACTGATGCTGACTGGGGAGGTTCAAGAACCGATGGAAGATCCATAATAGGTTATTGTACCTTTGTCTGGGGAAATTTGGTAACCTGAAGAAGTAAGAAACAACAAGTGGTCTCTAGGAGCATCTATGGGATTTCCGAAGGAATTTGGATTAAAAGGATGCTCAAGAAACCAAGGCTTCTCAACAAGGAACCAATAAAGCTCCTATGCGACAACAAGGCAGCCATAGAAATTGCAAAAAACGCGGTGCATGATGATAGAACGAAACATGTGGAGATAGATCGACACTTATCAGAGAGAAGATAGAAACAAGAGCCCTTGAGATCTCCTTCGTGCCATCTGAACTTCAAGTTGCAGATGTCCTTACTAAAGCTTTACCCAGGGGCAAGTTCGTAAAAATGATAAACAAGTTGGATATCGACCTCCATACCCAACTTGCGGGGGAGTGAAGATTTTTTGGAGCTGTCAATAATTGCATCAAAGATCTCGGGGATCCTGTCAATTAAGGGTGTTATCCCTGATTTCCGGCTTTTTGTTTTTAGAGATTTTCTATATCCTTTCTTTAGTTGAAAGGATTCTCCTTCTTTTGTATAAATAGCCTTGCTTTGTGTTTTATAATCAACAGAAAATATATGAAAAGCCTTTTAGGCTCAACTCTGTTTGTTTACTAGACTATTAAAAGATTTTTGGTGTAAAGTCGGTCTTTGCCTCTTTGGCATTCCACGATGATTGCATACACTACATGGTATGGTGATGTTCATCCACCAAGTTAGCCTGCTAAACCTAAAACCTACAACTAGTGATCTGGTTTACAAGTGCCAAGCTAAGATCATATTTTCTCAAAACTCTGATATTCAAGATTCTCCAGAAAAACAGAAGGCAGGGCAATTGAACCATATTTTAGTTACTATTGAAAATTTGGGCTGTTATAAATATATGAAAACATATAATTTGTCCAACTGGTGATGGAAGAAGTCATCCAATCTTTGATAAGACCACACAAGTGAAGGGTGCAATCAAAGGACAATCAGAAAAGAGATTATATTTGGCCCTTATACTAATATAAAATATTTTTGACATTTTTAACCACTCTTGGAAGTTGTACCTGATGTTCTGACCACTTTTTACCCACCCTTCAGGCCTTCCTACTTTCCAGCCAAAAAGTGATCGACCAGATTGTACTTGGTGTTAAATCCAAACAAACTAGGTCAAGCCGGTCAATTTTTGTTGCCGGAAAGTAGGACCAGCAGTCAAAATGTGGTTGAAACACAAGGCAGATGGCCAAATAAATAACTTCAGTACTACAGCTGCCATAACATATTTTATCAAGTACAAGGGCTAAATAAATATTATTTTCGGGATAATCCGGAATACTTTTTATAACTTGCTGAAATCTGAATTATCATGTAACTACTAAAGCTGAAGAAGAATAATCTTCAAACCTATGAACCAAAACTCAGGAACCCATCAAACCACTGGCAAGACAACATTATAAGAAACTTCTTTAGATGGACTCTATGCTTCGCCGGTGTAACCTTTAGACCATACCCCCTGGCCCCTGCAGCATAGTTGCCTGATTACTGATCACATGATAGCCTTACATCCATTATATATGTTCTTCCTCTTTTAGGGGTAACAATATGAGTCCGTAAATCAGTAATGGGGAAGAGATGAAATTTTCATGGTGATTTTCCCAATTGGGGTCATTACAGAAATTGGGCACTTGCTAAAAAAAGTTTACTTGCTTATCTTCAGCACTATCTATAATCAAGTCAACATCGGGGTTTGGCATTGAGTGGATATGTTAGTTTAAAACCCCCTTCAAACTCTTCAAGTGAAAGGAAAGAGAGACAAAAATTGATGCCTTTTCAGTATGGCTATCTACAGACAAGTGAGCCAATTTTGACTTTGGATCAGAAAACCACAAAATATTGGAATTATATTTACCTAATTTCCATCTGCTATCATCCATTGCAGAAATAGATTGCAAATTTAATGGAACTTGAAGCAAAAAAATATCCTTGTGTTATCGCAGAAAAGCATACAAAGACCGGCACGATAACGTCCCTCTATATAGGAACAAAATAGGAACATTTTTTTTACCTGGCCCTAGAACAAAATGAAAGATTACTCTTGCAGAGTTGATCAAGACCAATTGAAGTATGATAGAATTTAGGCTGACCTACTATGAATGCAACACATCGCACTAGAAGATGACACACAAGGTTCATTTTTTTTACCTGGCCCTAGAACAAAATGAAAGATTACTCTTGCAGAGTCGATCAAAACAAATTGAAGTATGATAGAATTTAGGCTGACCTTTGTACCCTTTGTACACAGCCAAATGTTGGATGAGCTTCCCATATGCCAATGCAAGGTCGGCTGAACTGTACCAATTGTAAAGGAAAACAATTTATGGATGAGCTTCATTGATTGACAGACTCACATATAAGAGGACACTAAAGCAACTTTCTCCAATGAAAAATATATGACAAGCAGTAAAAGTGACCTTATGTTACCTTGAAGAGTCAGCAAAGCAGGTCGCAAAAAGCAGAGAATTTGATCGAGCAAGAGAAGCACTGTGGAACACAAATTGGTCAGAAAATATGAATACAACATGATAAAAGGAACAGATCAATTAGTTTATGAAATTGGGTTGCAAACTACCATTTCGCAATTAGCAATGTGTTTCAACAACTAATTTCAAATTACAGGTTGTTTCTTTGTACAGATGTAAACACAAAATGCATTGAGAATTTACAATAAGATATGTGGCCTCACATTAAGCAGCAAGGTACCTGTCATCAAATAACATCCGTGTGTATTATCTGCACTTAGCTTAATGGCAAGGACACCACGAACCTATCAAGTGGAATGGAGATTTATCGAGCTAAACTTTTTCGTTTGAGACAGCCACAAAGATTTGAACTCACAATCTATGGGTTGTAAAGGAATACTTGAAACCAATGGGTCGAAGACCTATTTGGTCATCTTTGTGTTAGATGCGGATTACCAATCGATCATCTAGGTTGTCCTAGAGCTAGGTGTGGCATGACTGTCAGGTACTAAATCTCTAGTATGACAGTCAATGCGACATGGGAACCAATTATTCCACATAATCTTATTTCATCAATCTTCTAATTGTGCCATACATCAGTGTGGAGGACTTCCATAAACCCTTTCCAATTGTTAAGATATAGGGTTATCTATGACTATAAGTAGAGCTTGTCTCTTTTATTTTATGTTTTATCTGTTTCAACCCATGTGGAGATTTAAAGTCATCTGGTCTAGGACCAAAATTAGAGAACCATTAGTATTATACTATGATCTCCATGTTTGTTAGTTATGCGATAGTTGCAAGAGGGTAGTCAGAGCCTGCAATAACAGAGACTATTACTTAAATCACCGTGTAGCTATCCCAGCTGTATCATTGCACATCATGTGTATTAAAGCATCTAGGAATTTTAAATTAAAATATTGTGCATAGAATTGTTTCCTTTTAAAAGAGATTAGATATGACCTTTATTTAGAATAAGTTTACGAGATTATAATTGCAATACATTGGATAATTTCCTACGTATGAAGATTCTTAGATTGTGAGAATTCCTTCCATAGTTTGGTGACAGTTTCCTAGTTGTTGGTTCTTCTTGTGTATAAATAGGATTTGTAGCAATACAGAAGTAATAAGAAAATATCATGAGCCGGCGGTCTTCATGGAAACAGCCGCTATACTCTTTGAGATAGATGCCAAATCAGTAAACATCCCCCCTGGGCGGCGGGACACCTCCTGGTGGGATATACTGGGCTTGTTCCGCCTAATCCATGAATCTGGAAGTTGAAGATATTTATAGGGCTACATAACAGTACGATGAAAGGCTGAACATCATCTCAAGAATAAATGTTAACTCTGTTTGCTTCTTCCGACCAAAAAGTGAGGCAGGGCCCTAGTCGAGAGTAACTCCTCTATACCAAGGGCGCAAAGGCATGCCAATAACATCAATTCCAAACAATACTTTACCCAAAATTTGTACTTATGAAAGAAGTCAAAGAAAAGAGTACCTTCCATATAGCTCCCAAGATGTCACACGAACTAGGTAGGAAGAACCTACGAGTTGCAGTACAGATCCAGGAACAGAACTTGATTGTAACCATGAATAAAACGTGTCACAATTGCTCTCAGATCCACTTTCTGGAGGAAAAACCAATGAAGTTGTCGGTTTCCTCTGATTCTTTAGCCATGAAGTACTCAAAGCACCATCAATTGTCATTACCGAGCTTTCATTGTCAAATTGGTGGATCAATTGAGAACTTAATCTAAGTTTCTGGAGCAGCAAGGAAAACAAAGTATCAACAAAATTTTAACCCAAAATTCTTGAATACTCACTTCAACAACAATATAAGATCTAGGTACCTTGCAAACATTAGTTGGACAAGTTCTGAGCTGAATGGAAGCTTTGGGCCCAAAGGATAGCAAAGGTCTCTGAACATGCTGCATCGACAATAAACACAATCCTGGATATCAGTATGTTGATGGACATAAGCGCCTTCTAAGAGGGAGGGCAACTAACAAAACCGTACTACCTCCTCTGGGAGCTACATCATGCACATATACATAAAACCTTAGCAACAAATGCAGCAGAACAAATTTTACATAAATGAAGATCTAAGGCAATACCTAGCAGTACTCCTACATGCTATGAGGGCGAAAACAGTTCAGCACTAGCCAGCAGAACAATCGGTTAGACATAGAAAAATCTCTTGGACCATCTCTCGCACCAAATTTAAGGAGTCCGTATATGTTCTTTTGCAGTTTGCATAACAATTTAACACGCAAGTGGCTGTATGTGTTGTGCCTCTTGTACAGAACAAATATAGCACATTGAAGATGACTAGTTCTACAATTTTGACAACCTCATCAACTCTCCCATCATCCCTTCCCTGTCAAATTATATTTTGCAGTCCCACAAGTATAAGTTAATGATTAACTAGTTTCACACCCTAAGAACTCTTGAGACTTTAGGTGATAAGTCAGGCGAAATTGATAAATAAAACTATCAAAGGCATCTCCACAGAATTGAAATAGGGCTTATGTCGTATGGTATATTGAAATCAGCGAGAAAGGAAAACAAGCTAGCATGTTTGAGAAGATAGAATCTCCCACTAGTAACTAATATTCTTCATACCCTAATTACCCCCATCTTCCCTATTTGAGCAATTCTTTAATATAAACAAAATACCCTTCCACTAACAAAAATCAGACAGCCCCATGTGCCAAAAAACTTATATCCTTTTTGTGGTTCCTTTTTCCCATGCTGACCTGGCCTCTTCCTCCTACTGTATGTGAATCGGATTGGTGGGTGCTTATCATACGAGTGCTTTTTTGGTGCCATACAAGTAAGAAACTACAAATGAGTTAGAATGCAAGAATATAGAGCTCTAATCCAATCTACTTTTCAAATGAATCAGCTTGTAAGAAAAGACATTATTGTCACTTGAAATGAAAAACTGCATTTGGCGGAGTCTAATTTTCTTCTCACCCAGAAGGTGCTGCTAAACCATTGGTCTCACGAGCACTACTAACCTATTTGATCTCCTAATAACAAACAAATTCTACTAATCAACAAGTAAAACTTCTAGGAAAATTCAAAATTTTAATTTTTTCTTATTCCATTTCAGCACACAATTCCCTAGATCAGACTACTTAGTTGTTTCATATTCCTATTCAGTACAATCTATCTCAGCTCAGTCTATCACATTGAACATTTTGATCCATAATATACAACAGCAAGAATATGCTTGATAGTGTGACTATCTTCATTTCCCTATGCTCTGAAATGAATAAATGAATAGACGCTCATGATAAACGTATATCTGTATTTGTTTGTAACAAGCTAGACAACCATTCATGCAAGGAAACTCCAAAAGATAAATCTTACAGAAAATAAGAATCTAGGGATCCAGACTTTTATCTGGCACCTACCGTTAAATCAAACTTAGCCATTGCTAAATGATTGGAAGCTACCAACCGCTTTAATTTTAAAGAATCTGCTCTTTTTAGAGATCTTCTAAGAAGCACAAACAACTGTTGCTGAACAGACAATGATGTGCCGATACTGGTCATCTGCGAATCTGATGTTCCCATAATTCCAGTCATGTTCGAGATACCAACTTCAGATAACAGGTTACAAATGGCTGTTAATGTGTAGGCAAGACAAGTATCATCACTGTGCTGCAAATTGGAGGCAACAAACAATGTATAAATAATAAATATACATGGAAAGAATATAAATGGACATTGCAGAAACATTTAGTTACCAAATTAAACAGATAACTATAAAGAGAGTGAGCAATAATGATTAAGGTGTTTGGTATCAGTTGCTAGGCCATTTGATGCAAGAGCATCCTAAAGTCCACATAAGTATTATAAGTTCCCCAGCAACATTTCTTCTTAAATGATACCATCCTTTAACCAGACTGAGTCCTAATCTATACGTAGACATCTGGCTTAGAATACTGGGTATTAATCCAGCAGATAATTAAGAGGCCTGGTACATGTCAACCCAGTTTCAAGATTAATTCAGCTCCAATTCAAAACATATTTCAGTGTATATTAAAATCAACTTCTATATTTTGTAGCCTTGTAAGTTCAAATCCAATTTAAAAAGCAGTCACATGTAGCATATACCTAAAGCATAACAGATGGGTCTGTGATTGCTGCCGTAGTTCCATAGGAAATCAAAGCAGCGGAATTGGAAATACAAGATTTGGAGAGAGAAGTTTCTTATTTCCTCGAGGAATTGGACATACACACACACGTGTATACTAGAAATGAAAACAGATTTTCTGCCATAAAATCAGGTCTATCACTAACTAATGGAGAAAAATCCTCAACAAGCCAAGCAAATAAAATCCAGGGCATCTGGTAAACAAGAATCTTATTCTATAAAATCCCTGTAATTTCTAACTTATTTATAGGAATTCTATCATATATTTGTATCAAAATAGTGTTACATCAAAGTTTAGCTTAATATGTGTATATGATCTAAAAGTACATATACACTGAAATGGAAGGCTTAATGCACCCCCTTAAGCATTGCTTAGACTATTAAGCCTAAATGTCTTTGTAATCAGAGAGAACTAGGACCAAGATATTAGAGAGAATTTTCTATTATATGATTAATCAGAAAAATTCAAATTTACAAGAGGAGAGACACTATATATAGACATAATTACACGGAAAACCCCAACCCTAAAGCCCATCGGGCTTGGACACATTACCATAAACAGGTAACTTAATTAACACTCCCCCTCAAGCTGGAGCATATATATTGATCATGCCCAGCTTGTTACAAAAAGATGTGATTCGGTTCCCTGGTAATGCTTTGGTGAAGACGTTGGCTGATTGATTGCTAGTTCTGACATGAGAGGTTGAAATAGATCCATCTTCAAGCTTTTCCCGAGTGAAATGACAATCTATTTCAATATGCTTAGTGCTCTCGTGAAATACGGGATTGCTTGCAATATGGATAGCTGCCTCATTGTCACACCATAAATTCATCGGTTTAGATTGATTAAATCCAATCTCTCCCAATAGATTACGCAGCCATATCAACTCACAAGTAGTTTGAGCCATTGCACGGTATTCAAATTCAGTGCTTGATCTTGATACAACATTCTGCTTTTTGCTTTTCCAAGATACCGGATTCCCTCCCACAAAGACATAGTAGCCTGTTGTTGATCGTCTGGTTGTAGGGTCTCCATCATAGTCTGCATCAGTAAACCCTTCTATGACATAATGACCATGGTTTTGGTACTTGATGCCATAACCAGAAGCTCCCTTCAGATATTTCAAAATATGGCAGACTGCATCCCAATGTGTAGTTCTTGGAGACGACATAAATTGACTCAATACACTTACCGGAAAGGCAATATCGGGACGCGTGATCGTCAGATAATTCAGCCGTCCCACAATTCTCCTGTACTTCTCTGGGTTCTCAAGAGGATCCCCATCATCAGACTTCAGCTTTACATTCGGAACCATARGAGCTTCACATGGTTTCGTGTCGATCATGCCAGAATCATGTAGTATGTCAAGGCAGTATTTTCGTTAAGATAGGCAAATTCCTTTGTGATTCCGAGATACCTCAATACCCAAGAAATATTTCAGTGGACCAAAGTCCTTAGTTTGAAATTGAGATGCGAGGAATTCTTTCAACTTCTTAATTCCATTCTCATCACTGCCCGTAATCACAATATCATCGACATAAACCAATAGCAGCCAAAATCAGATGAAGTAAAGAACACTGAGTGGTCATATGAGCTTCTTCGTAACCCAAATGTAGTTACCACAGAACTGAACCGACCGAACCATGCACGAGGTGATTGCTTTAGGCCGTATAACGACTTCTGTAATTTACAGACCTTCCCAGACTCCCCCTGAGCAACAAACCCGGGGGTTGCTCCATGTAGACTTCCTCTAGCAGATCGCCATGTAAGAAGGCGTTTTTCACATCTAATTGGTGAAGAGTCCAATTATAGGTAGCAGCTAGAGAGATGAAAAGCCGAATAGACGCCATATTTGCAACATGAGAAAAAGTCTCAGAATAATCCACTCCATAAGTTTGGGCATACCCCTTTGCAACCAAACGAGCTTTTAACCGTGCTATCAAGCCATTAGGATTAACTTTCACAGTAAACACCCACTTACAGCCAATTGCTCKTTTGCCAACAGGTAACTCTACCAAATCCCATGTGGTGTTATGATCAAGAGCATTGAGCTCATCAATCATAGCATCCCGCCATCCAGGATGAGTCAAAGCTTCTCCAACCGTAGATGGAATAGGTATAGAATCAAGGGTAGAGACCAAAGAACGAGATGACCTTGAGAGTTTATCATAAGAAACAAAGGAAGCAATAGGATACGTGCAGGAACGTTTACCTTTCCGGAGAGCAATAAGAGCGTCAAGATCAGGATCCTCATTTACTGGAGTGGGTATAGAAGCTTCAGGAGATACATCTTCTGGGGATGGTGGATCTGCAGACTCAGATGATATTGGTAAAGACGGAGGAGGTCGTCCGCGCCTATTATATACATGAACAATGGGTGGTCTGGTGGCTTGAGTAGTGGACTCAGGAGTGGGTATGGTATACACCAACAAGTCATCATCTTTCTCATTTAAAGGAGTCRGAGGGGAAATTGGGAAGAACGGCACGTTCTCATGGAAGGTAACATCCCGAGATACAATATAGCGGTTAAGATTGGGAGAGAAGCACCTGTAACCCTTTTGGAGACGAGAGTACCCAAGGAACATGCATTTCAGAGATTTGGGATCAAGCTTGGTGATAGTGGGGCGTGTGTCACGAACAGAGCATGTAACACCGAAGATCTTTGGCTCAATAGGGAATAATCGTTGTCCTGGGAACAAAACAGAGAATGGAGTTTCTCCRTTCAGGACAACAGACGGCATTCTATTGATAAGAAAACAGGCTGTTGATACCGCATCGGCCCAAAAAGACTTCGAGACGGACATCTGAAACAGAAGTGCTCGGGCAACCTCAAGGAGGTGACGATTTTTTCGTTCGGCTACCCCATTTTGTGCTAGATTATCAACACAGGAGGACTCATGAAGGATACCATTTTGCAACATATAGGATTGAATTTGTTGGGATAYATACTCTTTTGCATTGTCACTTCATAAGGTTTTAATAGATGTTTGAAACTGAGTTTGGATTTCAGAATGAAAGAAACGTAAATGATTAAACACTTCTGAACGGTTTTTCATGAAGTATAACCAAGTAGTTCGAGAATAATCATCTACAAACGTAACAAAATACTTAAAACCAGACTTATACGTTACAAGACATGGGCCCCAGACATCAGAATGTACTAATTGAAATGGGGACGCAGCCCGCTTATTGACTCTAGGACTTAAGTGAACACGTTGATGTTTGGCAAACTGACATGACTCACATTGTAAATACTGTAAATGGGAAAATTCAGGACACAACTTTTTGAGACTCTGTAAGGAAGGATGACCTAGTCGACAATGAACTTCAAAAGAAGATGATGAACTGGAACTTGCCAAGGAATATGGTTTGGGTGGTTCAAATATGTATAGGAGATCCGACTCCCGTCCTCTACCAATAATCCTCTTCGTCTGCAAATCTTGAAAGACACAATGATCAGGAAAGAATGAGACACTACAATTAAAAGTGCGAGTAATTTTGCTCACAGACAGTAAGTTAAAAGAAAATTTTGGTAGGCTCAGGACTGAGGATAACGAGACAGATGGGGACAATTTAACAGTGCCAGACCCAATTATTTGGGAGACAGATCCATCAGCTACTGTGACTTGAGCTGAGGATGCATGTTTATTGAAATTTAGGAGAATGTGGGAATTACCAGTCATATGGTCTGAGGCACTTGAATCAATGACTCATTTGGAGGAGGATGATACAAAGCATTTGCCAAAGTTACCTGTCTCAGCAAACATAGCAGTGGAAGCAGCGGGGTGCTCATTTACCAGATGAGGTTCCTCTTTGTGTCTCATAGCTGTGTCATCTGATGTAGTTGCAGCATGTGCTAAGGAGAGTCTCTGATTTCTAACCTGCCGTTTCTTGCAATTAAACTTAGTATGACCAAGTTCA